CATTAATGTTTGCTTGTAGGAGACAATGAACGTGGGGTTCTGTCTCTGAGCCGTTTGCTTCTTCCATTTTGTTATCGTGCAGATTGACCCGTTGCAGTTTCTAGACTGCATTTCCATTGCAATTTGGGCATGATCTTCCTTGTTGAAAACCACCATAAGGTTGTTGCGACCTAAGTTCTGTAAGGAGAAGCCCTCCCCAACATCTTTGAGTTTAGACTCCTTTTTTATCGTTTCAATGATGCATTTTCTTTTCTTTGCCGACATGAGCTCTGCCCCATTACGAATAAAATTGAAGACTATTGCATGCCTCTCATGAAGATCATCCAATTCATAAATTTTTCCCTCGGGATATCTCTAAACAATCACTTCCTCTTCTTTGTTTTCCACTCACTTTCTTTGTGATTGGTACTCCTTTGACCTTTGTTTTTTTGATCAGGAATTTGAGTGCTTCATTGTCAATGAGTTTCATTTGTGTCTTTCCTGTGCCTGTTTGTGGGCTATGGGTGGTGTAGGTTGCATTTTTAATGGCTTACTTGAAAGGGGTTGTTTCACGGCCTGCAGTTGGGGACGCCATGATTGCTATTCAATTGCCATCGAGGCCAGAGTCTTCTTCCCCTGAAAGGGATGTAACCCACCCTCGCAGGACTGTCTTTGGCGCTGTTGTAGTGAGTACGGGATTGGGGGGGAGGCCGTGCTTAATACTGCGAGAGATAGGGGATGGGGGGGGTGTAGATTGGCATGCTTATGGAGGAGTTAGAACAAGTGGGTTCCAGGGGGTTAGCCTCTGGGGGAACGGTGTTAGTGTTTCCCTTTTTTTTTTTTTTTTAATTTGCTGGTCGGGTTCAAATTGCTGTTGAATTCGAGAGGGATGGTGTGGGGGTTATGTGCACGGGTGGGAGGCGGCTTGTGGGCACATAGAATGGGGGCGAGGGGGAGGATAGTTGCGCGTAACCAGGTGGTTGGTTTAGTATCGGATGCCGGATGAAAGAGGTTAGTAGAGGTTAGTGTTTGTTGCTTGTCGCTATGATATTGGGCGGGATAGGAGGAAAAACAAAAAAAGGGGGGAAGGGGGGGGGGGGGGAGGGAGGGAGGAGAGATCTATAGAGATTGTGGGTGTGAGTGATGTAATGAGACCGGGGAGGGGAGGGAGGGAGGAGGTCTATTAAAGAGGACTTGTTAACAGGAGGGAGGGGAGGAGGAAGGCAGGGGGGGATGATGGATGGTGGAGGCGGTGTTTGGCACGAGGCAGGGTGTGGGAGATAGAGTCCCAGGGTGAAAGAGCGGGGTTGTGTTGTGGAGTATGGGAGAGAGGAGGGCGGGTAGGTGGGGTAACCGGGGGGTTGTGTTACTGGGCACGGGGCTGTGGGACGTCGGATGAGGCGAGTGGGACTGGAGTTGCCGGTGGGGCTAAGCTGGGATTGGAGAGCGTGGGAGGTAAGAATTCGGAGAATGAGGGTAGCGGTGGGTAGCAGTTGGCAGAGGGGGGGTAAATCGGGGGGAAGCTGTGCTTTTTGGAGTAGAGACCGAACCGGAAGGAGGGGGGGGGGGGGGGAAGGAGGTGGGGGCAAGTCGAATTAGGTGAAATTGAGGTTGACACAAGTCCTTTGTCGAAGAGATGGGAAGGGGGGGTGGCCGGTGAGAAATGAGGGATAGGGGGCGTGTGTCGTGCTTAGGCTGAGAGGGGGTGGGGATTGTGTTCGAGAAATGGAGAGGACGACCGGTTAGTTAGTGGGGTGGGGGTGTGGGGTGTGTGTCGAGATTAAGGGCCTCGCTGCACCACTGTCGAAAGTCAAAAAAATTCGACGGCTGTCAAAACAAATTCGACAGCCTCCATTCGACAGTTTGCCCCCTTTCGCCACACAGCACTGTAGAGTGTACGCACTTGTGAAAACAAGATGGAAAAAGACGAACGCCCCTGAGGGTACGACAAGCATTAGTCCATCCCGACCTTACCCCACTCACCAAATTTCGAAGGGAAGTCGATGGCGCAGCCGAAGAGTGTCGAAAGCATCAGAGTAGCAGGCTGGGGATTCAACGACTTTCGACAGGAGGTGTCAAGAAGCATTCTTTGACAACTGGCGAATTTTCTTCACGTCTCTGACTTCGACAACCTGTGTGGCGAAGAGAAACTGTCGAAAATCGCATTTTTGACAGTGGTGCGGCGAGGCCCTAAGATCCGGAAGTAGGAGAATAGGAGAAGTGGGGGTTGGACGTTTTGGTTAGGTTGGACGTTTTGGTTAGTTCTCACTCGATTGTGTCCCATTCGTGTGGTCGGTCTGATCTTGTCGGCTGCGGGCAGTTCGCTGTGTCTCCTGAAGTTTCCTTGAATGGAAGTTGCCGTAATCGTTGTCGAAGACAAAACATGAATAGTGATGAGTGGTGTGTTGTCCCTCAAATTCCTACCAATCTTGCTGGAGAGGAATTCGTAATCTAACCTCGATTGCCAGGAACGTCAGTGTTCCTCTTGGGCAACGTTCTCCGCCAGGTACAAAGTGGTTTCATGAATTCCTGTCTGCCACAGCTGTGGAGAGTGATGACCTATGCGCGCACACACGTGCGTGCGCAGGGTTTCTTCTTCGTCTGAGCGTAGGCTATGGCTGGGCGTATGATGGTCGTCGTCGTGTTCGAAAATTGAACAAAATCGATGCGCAGGCGCGCTCGGGGCAAAGTTGCGAGTGCGAGCACACACGCGGCAAAATTGCGGATGTGAGCTTGGAAAGGAGCGCTATTTTGTGCTAACCGTCAGCGCGAGCGCATCTCCAAAGGAGTCCTTTTTTTTTTTTTTTTTTTTTTTTTTTTT